AAACCCTAAACCCTAAACCGTATGCACACGCCGACAAACAGCCCCCAGCCAGAGAGGCGCCCGAGGAGGTCCCGCATCCGGACAGCGCGCTGCTCGGGCCTTGGCCTGTTTCTCTTTGCCGGTTTGGGTTTAGGGTTTAGGGTTTAGGGTTTAGGGTTTAGGGTTTAGAGCTTTCGACTTCGGACTATGGGGTTTCTGGGATTTTTTTGGGTTTCTGGGGTTTTGGTTTTGTAGGGTTTAGGGGTTGTTGAGGGTTTGGGGTTTGGGGGGTTTCTGGGGGTTCAGGGTTCTGGAGTTTCTGGAATTTTAGGGTTTAGGGATTTCTGGGGGTCTAGGGTTTAGGGTTTAGGGGTTGTTGAGGGTTTAGGGTTTGGGGGTTTCTGGGGGTTTAGGGTTCTGGGGTTTCTGGAATTTTAGGGTTTAGGGATATCTGGGGGTCTAGGGTTTAGGGGTTGTTGAGGGTTGAGGGTTTGGCGGTTTAGGGTTTTGGGGTTTCTGGAATTTTAGGGTTGTGGGGTTTCTTCGGTTTGGGGGTTTAGGGTTTGTGGGGGTTTAGGGTTTTGGGGTTTGTGGGGTTTTAGGGGTTTAGGGTTTTGCAGGGTTCCATTATGGAGTTTTACAGGGCTTGCACAGGGGCTTACCGGGGTTTACAGGGGTGTAGAGTCGCTTTTAACGTAAGGTTAGATTAGGTCGTAAAACTCTATATGAAGGCACCAAGAAGATCAAGACCGCATCAAGCATGGTAAGGATTGACGACGATTGCACGTTTAGTGCCAGGGTTGTATGGATTGTATAATCAGGTTATCGCGGGTACGGTTCTATCACCCACGAAACCAAACCTTTCAACCACGTAAGGTTCGGTCCAAGAGTTCATTATCGATGTTAGACTCTGTTCCGGGGAACTCTACTTTCTTTTTTGAAGCCGGTTTCCTGCGCCGAACCCTTGCGGAATAAACGGTCAGGTAAACTTTTCTCCCACGCTTTTTCCGAACAGAATAACGTGTGCTGTCGGTTTGGAAAGAGGCCGACCTCATCTGCGCCAGCAGATCTGTTCCCAGACGACAGCCGCAGCCCCGGATAGACGACGGGAGCGAGTGTTTAGTGAGCTTCAGGTGTCTCAGTGTAGGGTTTGTGAGGTAGAAGTACTGGCAAGCCGTTTTCCAAACACCCCGAGCCATAGTTAGAACACGAAGCGTGTGGTTTGTCTTGGCACATGACCTAGGATTGCAGGTATTGAGTTGGGAGTGCGACGGCAACGTTTTCTGTAGATTGGTACCCTGTTCGGCTTGCATCGTGCTGAAGCCTCCAGCCCTGCTTCGTACTTCCGCCAAAGCCAAGACATTCCAATCGAAGCTCTGGACTCTGAATTCTGGACGGGCAGCCCTGAAACAGAAGCTCTTGTCACGGCCCCTTGCAAGTGACAACTGGGCATAGCCCTAGATGGATCGTTTGTTCATGGGTAAATTTACAGACTATGGCAAAGATCAGAACCAACAACCTCTGCCTCTTCTGTCATTTTGTCCATTGCTGCCTTGGAGCACAACTTAGAACACGTGCATGCAAAACAGCCGCGACGAGAAAGAGCACATGAGTGCAGAGTAGTTTACACCATGAAGCCGACAGAACGTGTTTATGCCAGACTAGTCCTAGTTCGTCCAATCCTATTTGGCTCGAGCTTGGGCTCAAGACGGATACGACATCTGAGACATTCACCTGCCACTTCACTTGATACTCCCGACTCATCTTCTAGACGAGACTTAGCGGAACTGGGGCACATACATCTTTGCCACCATCCATCTCAGCGCCATGGGGGGGCAGCGAAACCCTGCGCGTGCTGCGCAAGTGCGGGTGTTGTCCTCCCTGGCCCGCCAACATGGCCTCGAAACTCTCAACGACGCAGCCGCCCGAGCAAAACTAGAAAACTTGAGCGGTGATTTATTGAATCTTCAGCTAAGTGATGAAGAACGACAGCACTTGCTCGAAGCTACGACAGCTTTCCAAGCCACATGCCCAGATGTTCAGCCACAAGTCGTTCAACACCCGGTCGACAACAAAGTGTGGAAGTTCTCTGCAGTACAGTTGACGTACAATTGCAGTCAAGGCGAGTGGGCTTCGCATGGAGACGTCTTGAGGAGATTGTTGAACCTCTTCGTTGGTTTTTTGATCGGACTCTCAGAAGCTCTTCATGTTCTTGGCACGTCGGCTACCATGGAACGTGCATCATCAAGGCAGGTACACATGCATGCCTACCTCCACTTGGGAAAGAGACTTCACCGCCGTAGGCGTGAGGCCCTGGACGTTTTCAACTTTGAGGGTGTCAAGCCGCACCTCACCTCCAACACGGCATCTGGCAAGTCCTACATGGGAGCCGTGCGGTATGGCCACTTTTACGTTGTGGTCAACAAGATTGGAACCATGCAGGTTGGGCATTCCGAACATAACGATTTTGCGAAGTTTGTTTAAGCCGTGCGGCTTCTGGTAGTCATGTTTTTGCGGCTTGTGACCATGCAGACAGCCCAGACTCAACTACACGGACTTTGAGCCTTTCAGGGCTGGTGGCTGGACAATTTCTTGAAGTCCGGAAAGGTAACGCGTGAAACATACTTGCACGTAGCTGCTCGCGTTACAGTTGGGTTCCAGAGCCGTCTGGCGGATTGCAAGGCAGATGAACGATAGCTGCACAAAGAGTCTTTGCGAGGTGAGGTTTCGGCGCAAAATCTGTTTTTGCAGACATGTCTTGCGCCGGATCGGTGAACAGATGGATTTGCGTGAGTTTGACCGCCGAATCCACTCTGCGTGGAGATTGCAATAAGACCCCTAATTCCATTCGGGTATGGTTGAAGGTTCGAGAGGCAGGGGAAAATAATTAATGACTCCCACATAGTTGCAGGATTTGGCAGTCGGCAGCCGTAGGATTCCGACATATTAGGACCAATTCTGACCAACTTTCGGAGGGGTCTAGGAGGGTCTGGACCAACAAATCTTTGATCCGTGAAGGCACTGAGCCTCCCTCGCCGATGCAAGCTGTCGTGGGCTCGAACACCTGCTGTGTTGCTTCAGGGTTAGGCTTGTAAGGCTTCTGGCCTTCGCACCATCAGTAAGGGAACTATCAGTAAGGGAACTATAGCTACAATTACTTACAGTTCCAGATTCAGGTTATCACCTTGCTGACGAAGTTTCTTGGTCTTCCGAGTAAGCCCCAGCCCTGAAACCCTCCAACCCAACCTGAAAACGCCGTTACCCTGACAGGGATATTTGAAGGTTCATGGGCAGATCCACGTACTTACGGCGATAAGTGCCCAACGGAGGTTGTAAATGCTGATAAGCAACTGCACAGATAACTCGACTGTCGCTTACATGTTACTAGCAAGCAGACTTGCGTGTTGTTTAGAAACCCGAGGCGTGCGAACACAGCTTCAGGGCCATGTGGATAGAAATGAGTTTTTGAACAGTGCCGGTAGCGGCTAGGCTGAAGATGCTTTATGGTTCAGCGTTTAAGTTTAGGGGAGATGTTGTTGAAACCCTAGACCGTTTTTGCGTTGCTTAAAGTGTTTTTGATGCCACTAGTGCAGGCTGAGGTGAGGATGCCCGAGCAGGTTTAGAGCGCCATTCCAACATGATATCGTACCTGAAAAGCCCCGTAGAGGTTTAGGCTTAGGTTTCAACTCTCCGAGTTTGCGGTTTGGGATTGAGGCTAAACCCTGAAGCCTAAACCGTAAGCTGCGGCATCCTACACAACAAGCCAAGCATAGTCTTTGGGGTTGAGTAAGATGACCTTCAATTGTTTGTGGGATTTATAATCTTGCCACCGTTAAAGAGTTAACCTTTCTTGGGCGAGGGTATTCCGAGACAAAGCCGATAACACGATCCGAAGCACAATGCTTTCAATGGTTATACGGGGGGAGGGGGGGAATTTGTTTGGTCTGAAGCGCCAGAAGCTGAAGGATCCGAAATAATGCAAGAGAATTTTGTTGTGGGGCATATTCTTGTAAAGGGGCTGTTTGCAGGATGCTGCTAACAGTCTTTCAGACCGGGCAGAAGTCGTGGCCCAGGTGAACCCACCGACATCGCCGGTGACCTCCCCGGCAGAAGAGATGGAGTTTGTGGATGAGGCCTTACAAGATTGGGATTGCGAGCTCTGCCTCAAATGTGGATGCTGGAAGGAGGAAGATAAAATTTGGGTTTTGGCAACTGTATTTCGGGCTATTGAGCGACATCGGGCACTTTTTGGGCTCTTGGGGATACCAGGAAAATACAAGCCTTGCTCAATATCCTGGTTCTTAGCCCAGCATCAAGTTGGTTTTGTGCATCGAGCCTCCAGTAGGGAAGCCTGAAGGACGCACCATCGTCAACAAACCACCCTGGTAGTCATTATTCTCTTCACATATCGTTTATCTGAAACCAACAAAAACCCAGTCTAAAACGTCGGCCTCTGCATTCTTTGCATTTCCCTAAACGCTCAAAGCCATAAACCCCTAAGCCCTTAGGTAAACCGCTCAGCCCAAAACTCTAAAGACTATTTCAAAACCCAACCACCAAAGCCCCAGAGGCCGATCCACACCCCAAGCCCTCAGCACCCTAAGCACCCTGAGCACCCTGAGCACCCTAAGCACCCTAAGCACCATAGCCCCAAACCCGAAACCCCAAATTCTGAAAAACAGAGGAAGAGCTTGAAGAGCGCTTGTATGTAGTATTCTGTAGTCCCCTATGGGTTCGAGTCCCCAAAAGCCCTCCCGATCCTCCACGCCGTAAAGAGCCTCCGTATTTTCAGGAGCCACCGCGAAAGGGCGCTAAAACTAAAACCCCACAAAACGGCTTCAACCAACAAAACGCAGGAAACCCTTAGCCATTCCTATACAAGGCCTGTTAGACGGCCCACCCCCAGATTTTCAGGGCTCGGCCGCCACGGGCCTGCCTTCGGGAAGCCTCTTTGACTCGGCGAAGCTGCGCAGCTCGGGACAGAAAGTTATAGGGACCCTACCATGCAGCCTTATAATCTTTTAAGGGCTAGGGTTCCTGATTATGATCTCCTCATATTTTCCTCGTAAAACCCTGGGCTGGGTGTTCTTCCATCGCAATTCATTCTTCGGGTCTGTGCTGGCTTAATTAGGTTTCCGTACGATTGCAGACTGTTTAGGGTGTTTGTTAGTTTTTCTTCGGCCCAGGTTTAGTGCATTGAGAGGGCTTTGATGTCTGGGGTGTGAAATTCAATCAGGGTTGGGGATAACCTCTCGTGACGAGTTTCCTTTTGGCACGACCTTACGACCTTGGAGGTTTGAGATTGCGAGAGGTTTAGGCTTGTTAGGTAACATAGGGGCCTAAATAAGTACTAATACTATNNGGGCTCCTTACTATAAATATAGTATACATTAGGATGAGAATTTTTTACAAGGGCCTGGGGGTTTAACAAACGCTCTATAAGGTTTCTGAGGCGGTTTTATGCGGGTCTAGGATTTCGGGGTCGGTGTCAGCACCTAGTCCCCCGTCCACGTGAATCCACAAGTGATTGGGGTTGCACGCAGAGCGTCCTGGGTTCCAAGGTAGCTGAACTTTCCGGGGTTCAGTGTCTGGGATTTACGTCGCATAATCTGGAAGTAGAGCGGCCGTGTTCGGTTGTAAGCTGTAGTTTTTAACATGAACCCTAAACCCTAAACCCTAAACCCTAAACCCTAAACCCTAAACCCTAAACCCTAAACCCTAAACCCTAAACCCTAAA